ATGAATCAGGGCATATAAGTTAATGTGTTACAATTGTGGTCAGAGAAATTTGGATTGAGAGAAAATTGATTACAATGGTAGAAATAAACCAGTGGTAACCAAAGAAAGAAACATAAATTGATAGTTCAGAGAAAATTGATCTCAATCAATCAAGGCACAAGGACGGAAACAAACTAGTGGTCAGAGAAATTTTGGAATTTCAGTGAGATTTCATTGGCGATAGAAATCTAACCTGTCGAGGTGCAAGAGAGTGGACTAGTGTCTTCTGCAGCTGTTTCGTCAAGCTTTGCAAGTTCCACTTGGCACATCTTGGGAAATCAATTGTGTTACTGTCTTCCAAGTCCATGATATTTGCATGTTCACATAGCCAATACTGTGATGGGATTTAAAGTAATTAAATTTTGCTAAACATACAAATTTGTAAGTATGATAACTGCAAATTTGAATGGAATTTATACTTACTAGCAATGCAATGACACACCCCGTAACTTTTTCTGGAGTTTTGTGCAATGCTATGATAGAATCAATCAATGTTGATGTGATTGCTTCTGGCCAATCATATTGTTTCATTGATTCAAGAGGTTCCACATACTTTATAAAAACTCACCATATTGAATTCTCACTTGTTTTAAAAAATAGGGTGAGACACAAGTACAATGTAACAATGATTGTTACATCTTTGTAGTTAGTTGGTTGCTTGCCTTTCATTGCTTTGACCAAGGCATTTTTAAGAACAAGACCAGTAAGCCTTGTGTCCTTTGGGAATCTTCTCCTTAGGAATGCAGATTTTGGCTTTTTAGAGTATCTTAATGACATGGCTCCTTTATCTCCTTGCAAACCGAAAATCAAGGTCACGTCATTTGTTGTAAAGGTCAAGTTCTTTTTACCAACTGTGAATGCTTTTATTTTTTCATTGTAACATTGGATTGTTGCAACTACATCATCATCAGATTTCCTAGATTTCCTTGGATCCATCCTTCCAGTGGTTAGAGCTTGGATCATATACCAGAATGGGGTCTGTTCTTGCACCTAGATACATACAGGTAGAAAGAGAGAGAGTGAAACTGTGAGAATTCAACCCAAAGAAGATAGAAGAGAGGAAAAAGAAAGGAAAGAGAAGGAGAAGAAAACACCACTACTACACTCAATCTAGGTAAGAATTACCCTCTTTCATTTCATGAATTTGTAGAATCATGCTTGTAACTTATGAAAGTCAAGGTTAGCTAAGAAAATAGAAGTGTACTAGAAGAGTTGGTTCATGTAATTATTGATTAACTACATCCAAGGCTCTTATGAAAGGAAGATAGAATGAATTCACTCGTAATTTCCCCATTGTAGGCTCGACTTTCTTCGCGTGCCCCTTTTCGGAGGGGCTCGAATAGGTCCTACAGTTCAGACTCCTGTCATGGTTCTGAATCTAATCTTATAAGGTGCAATGCAAGACTGATAAACATCAAAGAACCCAATCCGGCAAATCATTTTAGAAAATCTGATTTTAAATCAAATAATGCCAAAATTGGATTGCTTTGCCAGATTACAGAGTCGCCACCTAAATATTTTATTTTGGAAAATTTAGGAAACCCTGACTCATGCCAAAGGCCATGTGTCCATCATCACCAAAGTTGCCTCGGCTTGGGAACTTGAAATGAGCACCCCCGCTCGCCTGATCAAAGGATCGGCCTCTACTAACATGATATGTTGTTTCATAAACACATGTGTTCTTATTCCGATTATTAGCTAACTTTACTATGTGACGCACACACAAGTATAGCCTCAGTCGCAAGACTTGAAACAAATCAACTCATGTTTGTTTTCGAAAATGGTTTGAAGATGCCACCCTCAAGTCGGCTAATGCGCGGATTTGCCACCCTCAAGTGGGCTTAAAACATGATGATTTGCCACTTCGCAAAGTGGGCTTAAAACTCACAATCATCGAATTGTTCCAATTCGAGCAACAAAGCCTTTATCCACAGGCATTCATGCAGTTAATCACTTAAGCAAATAGTCTCATGGCAAGCATGTGAAACATGGCATCACTCACACTCATGCAAGTATGCTAAAGCGTAAAACTTACAGTGTACTCCAAGCCAAAACAAAAGCTAGTTAGAAATATGCATGATCCTAACTATGCAAGATGCCTAATGCAGTACATGTAATAATGCAATTAATAAGCTCGGCTATCTAAGATGGCATATAAATGTAACAATTTGATACACGTATTCAAATAAGTATTGAAATACGATACAGTTTGAATGATGCACCGAGACGTGGTGCATGCAAGACAAATGAATGATGCAAACATGCGAGCATGAGGTATGCTAATCAAAACGTGTCCTGATCTAACCATCAAAAGCAGTTAAATAAAAGGAAGAAAGATGTGGGGTTAGAAGATATGCACACACACACGCACGCTTATTACAACATTGTGCCCTCGTGAAGGAGGGTCCGAATAAATAAGCTAAGCTACACTAAACTAAGCTAATTATTACAAAACAACTAATTAACTATTCTAAGCTAATTAATTATTACAACATAATTGAATGACTAGCTATGCTAAGCTAATTAAAATATTACAAAACAAATTGAACTAATTAATTACAACACATGTATTAATTAGCTATAACTAGCTAATAAAGTGATTAAACGGCCTCGCGGGCGAGGGAGATATGCATGCTCAGGTGGCTTCCTCCCGAAAATCCATCGCCTTGCCACTGGTTGCCTCTGTTTGCACTTACCTTGATCTCTGAACATTGTACCAATTTCCAAACTGGTTTTGCTCCAACACAGGAACTCTTTTGCAGAAAAATGGACTGGTGGCCGGTCGACCATAGAAGGTGGCTGTTGACCACCTTAACTGGCCGGTCGGCTAGTATAGGTGGCCGATCGGCAACTTCATGTGACTGGTCGGCCAATGCTTTTTCCAGGCTTCTGGTTTTGCTGCAACAGAAGCAAAGCAATGCATTTGTGTAGACACCTAATTTTTGACCGACCTTAAGACTCAGACGTCATCGATTGAGTGCTCGGTGATGATGCATATTGTGCTCGTTCTGAGGTTTCGGAGTCTCGGCTGAGAGCCTTGCCTCCGGACTTCGGGGCTCTTTTGTGCTTTGTCTCGGTTTGAGAACCAAGTCCTGTTTTCTCCATTTTCTCTTCCCGAAGGGAGGGAGAGGTCTCGTAGACCATCTCTCAGTGGACATAGGCTACGTTTCGTGGTCGTAGGCCATTTTTTTCCCTTTGGAGACCAGTTTCTGGTTTTTCAGAGCCGTCGGTCGTGTGCCTCAGTTCGGGACCGCATAACTACCTCCGTTTGCTCCGGTTTTTGGCACACATCTTGTTTCCTCTCCTTAGAGGGACACTGTGGCCCGGGAGACCACCTTCGGGGTCACACGCCACTTCCGGCGCATAACAATCAGTTTTTAAGGCTCCCGGCTGCGCGTTTTGGACCCCGAACCCTCATTTTGCATCGGTCAGGGTTCATTTTTGGCATGGACCCTAGTTTCATTATTAGGAAGGTGGTATGAGGGTGGGAGACCACCTTTTCCCCTTGGAAACCAGCTTTCTCCTCGAAGACCACTTTTCTCTATCCTCCAGCTAGTTTTCTTGTCGGGAAACTGGTCTCCCTCACTTTTGGGCCATAATTTCTGGTCTCCCATACCCCCATTGTGCTGCATTCATCTGGGAGGCCACCTATTTGGTATGGCCGACCACCTTTGGTGATTGACCCTTTTGAACCTTCTTTGAAAGCTGGTTTTCATTACTTTTGAGCCACATTTTCTAGTTTCCCATACCACCACTGTGTTGCATTCACCTGGGAGACCAGCAAAATGGGTAGGCCGACCAGCTTTTCTTCTTGACCTTTTCGAACCCTAGTCGGCCAGCCATCTGCTTTTTGCCCTTCCTGAGTGCAACACAACTGGGAAGCATTTGACCCATCCTCCGGGATTTAGCCCCTTTGCTTGTCTTCTTAAGGAAGCTTTGGTCCTTTTGCATAGCTTCTAGGAGAAGCTTGACCCTTTTGTGAAGCTTCTTGAGGAAGCTTGACCCCTTTGGTCTAGCTTCCTCAAGAAGCTTGGCCCTTTTGGGTAAGCTTCTTTTAGAAGCTTTGACCCTTTGTTGAAGCTTCTTAGAGAAGCCTTGGCTCTTTGTCTTCTATAGGAGACGCTCTCCTCTCCATTTGCAAAGGTTGAACACTTTTGGCTGGAGCATACATCCATTTCCCTCCATAGCTCTCTTCTTCAAGCTCCAAACCCCATTATTCTTGCACCCATTACACTACACCTCCTAGCACAACACCTCCACCACCCATCCAAGCACCTTGGAACTGATTTGCAGAGGTTGAAGGCTCATTACCTTGGTCTAGAAGTTGCTGAGGGTCGGCTCTACAAGGGTAAGCCTCTATTTCTCCTTTTTTTACATTATTTTGCTTCATATCTTAGCCCTATTTGCAAGCATTTTTGCGTTTCGACATAAACTGAAAAAAGTTTTCTTTTGAGCTTATAAACATATTTTCTTAAGGTTATTTTTCTGTTGAGGGTCATCTACCCCCTTCCATGCTTCATTTCCTCATGTTTTGAGCTATGCATTTGAGCATTTGCATTGGCCTCGGTTTGGCCTTTTAGCCACTGAAATCCAGTGGATTTTCAGTGGCTAACATGTGTCTTTGAGCTTCAAAATCATAGAGGGGTGACCCTCTCACCCCTTGTTTTCTTTACTAGCTTTGTTGGCCTTCCAAAGGGCCCCTTATTTGCATGTTTTGAAGTCATGTTTCAGGCCCTATTTGGTGAGTTTTAAGGTCTGCATAAGCTCTTTCCGGAGCCCTTTTGGCCATCTTGAATGTCTATTATGCATGTGTAGAACAATCCTATTCAAGGCCTTTCAAAGGGGCTTTCACTTGCACGCTTCCTAGACTAATTTCAAGGCCTTTTTGGTGGGTTTTAGGACCCTCGTAACCTCTTTCCAGAGGTGGTTTTTCCATTTTGTGTGTCCATCATACATGTGTAGAATAACCTCTTGCATGGCCTTTCAAAGGCGCACTTCATTCTTGCATGTGTTGACTGACTTTCAGTGCTTATTTGGGCATATTTTGGCATGGCATACTTCTGTTTTTGGTTGGTTTTGTGAGCCCTCATGTGCTTCATATACGTGTAGTGTAAATCATAGTTCACTAGCTTACTTCGCATGCTTGGTTGACCCTTCATGTTAGCACTTTTTGGCCATGCCTTAAACTGATATTGTGCGTATTTTGGACTACCCTAGCCCTATTTTTGGGTCTCATGATTGAATGATGTTTGTTTTGCATGCTTGTAGTTCAATACTCATGCTTAACTTTGAGTTTTGAGGCTCATTCCATGTATATACTGAGGTGTGTTCATGTTTTGGGTCCATTATACATCATATTTTAGAGCTTGTATGAATTCCATATTGCCATGTTTTCTACTCCTTAAGTGTGCTTGAGAGTTGTCCATGAATGCCTTGTTTTCGGACCATTGAATGAGCTCCATTTCTTTGCATTCCGAGTCATCATTTTAGGTCATTTCCCTACTGTTTCAGACCTACCTAGGGTCTGTTTGGGGTTGGTTTTGCCATAAGTGCATTGCTTTGTGTACCTCTAGTGTAATCCGCTTCACTAGTTTCGGTACCCGGGTCTTCTAACATGCATTGGGTGACATGTTTGCATGTTTCGGGACCATCTTTTGTGCCATTTCAGAGCTGTATCATGTGCCATTCTATGCCATATTTCATTCTCTACCATGCTTAGTTAGAGTTGCATGTTGTGCCTTAGGATCGGTCCTTTGCATTTGTGCATGTTTGCATGTATTTCGGTTGTCTCATTTTCATCATATGGCCACTGACGTGAGTGTGGCTGAGGTCCACTCATATTGGTTTAAGTCCACCTTGCATTGTGTATGCCATTTGGTTCATGTTGTTACATGTTTGACCATCGCATTGTGTATGCTTTGATTATGCCTTTGTGTATGTCCATCTTCGTATGTGTGCATTGTGTATGCCATATAGC